ATCTTACTTTCAGGGATCTTACTATCTTGTATGGGTAACAAGATATCCATAGTAGTGTAAATAGTAGAGTTTGATGAGGGATCCATTACAGGCACTAAATACCAGAGAAGCACAGCACAAGAGGAACTTTTAGGGGTTCCCAGTAAAACTTTCATGACAAGGAAGAACAGTTTGATCTGAGAACACATGAAATGAACTGAAAATATTTGTAGAGGACCTCATGGGAGAGAATAAGGAATTGAGAAGGGTAAAGACCCATCAATGACATTGTGAGTAGGAAGTAACATTAATTTATAGAAAGGTTAATGTTGATAAAACTGAAAATGGGTTAAAGTGAGGGGAAAATCTACAGATGGGAAGTCTTCCTTATAAATGAACCTAATAAGAGGGGATGCTGGATATCCAGGTTAAAGGTAGTAATTTTAGAAATGAGGTTTTGTACAGAATTAGAATATGTAACACTCCCTGAGCCTCAGTAGAATTTAAGCTCCATGAAAGTTAAGGACCAGGTCACATGTGTGGCTAGATCCTTAGTGCTTAGCACTGTGCTTAGTCCACAGTATATATTCAGTTCATTTTTTTGCATGAATAAATGACTGGAAGTTGAAAGTAAGGAAGGAGGTCAGTATTGTGCTTCATTATATATTTGTCGTATTTCTTCTGGGAATGTCATTTTGCAGATCTGTCTGCAAACAGCTGGTAAAGACATGAATTTCTTTTATGTATAGATTTATAAAATGCTCAAAGAATATATTTCATAATAAGGAGTTTATGTCCTAAGACATTGATTATCTCTGTTGATGCCTAAATGGCTCATTCCTGTGTTTCTCAATCTGAAAAATGAATATTATCCTAAAGAATATATATACTGAAATAGTATTAAATCCACACTTTTTCTTCACTCATAAGCAAAGATCCATAACTTTCTTGAATTTCTTGCTTAATTTCTCTATGTTTTTAGGACCTAATGAAAAGCTAAGGCTGGAATAAAGCCACACTGTTTCAGAGGACATCTCTTGAGGAAGAACGTTTTGTCTCTAATTAGTGAAACTGTATTGATTAACTTGCCACCAAGTTTATTGATCTAGTGGAAACATTGGCCTAAAGCACAGATGATGATAGTCTTATGATGGCTATTCATTTAAAATGCAATGTCTGCAAGGCAAAGAGAAACAAAAGAGCAAGACTAAAAATATAGTCATTACTCAATTCATTTGATGGCTTTTAAATTTGTTTGTATTTCTTAAAGCCTAAAAGTTAATTGAACAGCAATAAAATAATTTTGTAGCATACTCCTTTATACTGTCCACTTTTAAAGATTAAAAGGAGATTCAGGATCCCTGAGAATAAAAACAACATAAATATTGTTCACATCTAAAACTATGCTTTAATTAAGGCATAGATTTTGCTATCAAGGAGCTCCTAATCTAGTTAAGAACATAAATACATAAGAAGTAAATTTTTATGCTACAACATAAAGTTCTGAATGAAAACATAATTGCAAATATTAATGGCCTGCTACTTCACTGAGGGTATGTCAGGATTCCAAGGAGAAGAGGAAAGAGATTGCAGTTGAAAAGTGAATTTAGTAAAAGGTACATGGTAGACAACAGAGTTAAGCTTTTAAGCCCTAAGCATGATCATTTGTGTATTTCATAAAGATCACCCTGGGTAACTTGAGGTGACTTAAGTTATCAAGGAGGCGAAGTCCAGGTTTTATATTATTGGCAGTAACTGTAATGAACTAATACTAGTTGTCATTCTGTTAAGTATTTATACTGTACAAACTTACTCTTCACTACAGCCAACTTCTGTGTGTGTCTCTCTGTGTGTGTGTGTGTGTGTGTGTGTGTGTGTGTGTGGCTCTGGGAATTGACCCCAGGCCTTTGCCCATCCAAGGCAAGTAAGTGTTCTATCACGAAACTACATCCTCAGACTTTTAAAATTTTTATTTTGAGACAGGCTTTCACTAAGTTGCCAAGTCTGGTGATCCTGCCTCAGTCTCCCAAGTGGCTGAGATTACAGGCATGTGCCTCCACATCCTGCCATCACAACCAAATTTTCAAAGATGTTTGGCAATTAGGTGGAATCATAGAAGGTGAACTGAAGTTCAAACTCTTAAATATGACATATACTTTCCAGAAAGAGAGAAAATTAAGGTTTTCAATTAAGCCTGACAGTGGGAATGGAGAAAAGGCAGTCCTAAGAGATGTTTTAGAAGTAAAATCAAAGGAAATTGAGGACAAAATGGCTTCAGATGGCAGGGAAATGGCTCTGAGAACAGCATACTGGAAATTTTCGTTTGACTCAAGTAGGGCTGGGAGAGGGAAGTTCATGAATTTAGTTTTGGGAAATGCGTTTTGAATTGCCTATGGGAAGCATCCAGGTGGCGAGGCCATTGCAGGTATAAATATTGCTCTAAAACCCTGGGAATAAAATTCCAAACGGAATGATTACAAATCCTGACTATGGTTGAAGTCATGAAAGTGAATGAAATAGCCAGACTGAAGGAAAACACTATGTCATCTAAATAATGATAATTTAATTTCTTCCTTTCCTATCTTTGTTCCTTTTATTTCTTTCTCTTGTCTAATTGCTCTGGTTAATTTTTCCAGAGCTGTATTGAATAGGAGCAGTGATAATGGAATCCTTGTCTTGTTCCTGATTTTAGAGCGAAAACTTTTGGTTTTTGACCATTTAGTATGATGTTGGCTATTTGCTTGTCATAAATAGCTTCCATCAGATCGAGATAAACACCATCTATTCTAATTTTCTGTGGAGATTTTATCATGAATGGGTGTTGGACTTTCTCAAATGCTTTTTCTGCATTTATTGAGATGGTCATATGATTTTTGTCCTTGACTCTGTTGATAGGGTGTGCTACATTTATTAAAAAAAAAATCACACCTGAAGATGCAGAAACAACTCCAAACATACTCAGCCATCTTATCTTTGACAAATGGGCCAAAATCCTTCACTAGGAGAAAGATAGCCTCTTTTATAAATGGTGCTGGAAAACTAGCTTTCCACATGCCAAAGACAAAAACTAGACACATGTCTCTCACCAGGCACTAAACTAACATCAAGGAAAACAACACAGGGCAAGTCAGTTTTAAGCTGGAAATGTCAGGTAACCCAGTAATGTAGACTAAGAAGATGGAGAAACGAAGAGGGAGCCATGTCTGGGAAACTAAGGAGGGATCTCAGGAAGGACTGAGAGTTCAGTTAATACTGTCTAATGGTGGAGAAAACACACACAGCAAACGTATTAACAAAGACCGTATCATCATACAAGCCATATGGATGACTGGGCTGTTCACAGCCACGCAGTCGCCTTGGGTTTCTTTTCCATGAGATGCCAGTTTCCCCCTTCCATTCTCTGTGCCCTTTCTTCGTGTAGAGTGTAATTCTCCACATGTTAGTGTTTTGGGATTTGCCTCCCACTCCTCTCCTCCCTTCAGCTTCCTGTCTCCTTGGAGATCCTTCACTTAATTAATCCAGTGCAGGGAGGACATTGCTGGCTAGAATGAAACTAGGCAGAGAAGGGCAGGGAGAGCTGGAGCAGCACGAGAGGAAGAGCAAGAAGAAAGGAGCTGAGCCTTGAGGAGGGCTGTGACCCGGTCTCCAGCTCCCCTGAACGCTGCGCACCGACCACCTCTGCCTTTGCTGGGCCAGGGCACCAGGGTTGAGAGTCAGATCCAGGTGGGGGCTCAGGGCAGTGTCATGGGCTCCGAGGCACCTACAGGCTTCTCCCTTGTATACCCCCTGTGCTTTGATTATATTCCAGGTTTCTGTTTCTTCCTGCTTTCCCTGCCAGATTTATAGTTCTTAAAATCTCAGTCCTTTCCTTTATACTCAGTTGCTCTCTCCACGCGTTTAAAATTGGCCCCTTGGATTATTTCTAAAGCAGTGCCTCAGAACAGCTGTTGTTTTTCCACCCTAGGCACCAACAGTGAATTTTAGCGGAGAATTGGACTTGAAGAGTAGGCAGCCCAGAGCCATCGCCCCACTGCCTCATTCTTTCTTACAGCACACAGCCTTTGAAATTCTAGTTTACACCCAGATGGGCAGGGGAGGACATGACCCGGAGGACAGAGCACTTATATCGGATTGCCTGGAAAAATGAACAAGGTTAAAGCTTTGCAGTTTTGTGGCAAAGTCTGTGGATTTGATGATTGGATATTTCTTTTTAACTGGGCTGCATTTTGTTTAGGGTGAGCACCAGCTTAATGTGAAATAAAGAAAATTTTGTAGGAGGAAACTTGCATTAGAGTGTGATTTAGAGAGATTTAACATAGATCCTGGGGACCTGTTTGCTGTTAAAATCATACTTTCAGTTTTAGAAATATATATAATATATAAAATGTAATATCTATTTCATTTTTTCTTTAATCTTAAATTGAATGTAAGAGTTTGTAGGTCCTGAGTTCTCTGGGTTCCTAAGAAATGCTGCACAAGATTTTTTAGATGAATATATTTTTAAAGAAAATGAGTTGAAACAACTATTGAATGTTTTTCCCATTTAAGTTTCAACTTCATGAGCAGTATTTGAAATATTTTTCAAAATGATGGATGGCTTTAAAATGTGAAGAATTATTTCCGACAAAATAACAGTGTGTAGGTGTTCTAAATTTCTGTCAATTGAGGTTAGCTTTACACAGTGCAGTATAATTTTGGGTAATTGCCTGATAATTCATTTTATTTCTAACACGTTTATATTCAATTAAAGCAGTTTAGAAAAGCAAATTATTGTCTTACTTTTTCGAAAGTACTGAAGTTTCCCTTTTTATTAGGTGGAGAATATTATGTAGCACCTATTTATTGATGCCTTAACATTCAATTGAATGAGCAGACAGCCAAAATTGAAAAGACATGACAATAAAGTGATCAAAGACATGATAATAAAGGTACACATATAGTACCTAAAGAATGTTTAATAGTTTAGTTGTGAGGCTAAAATATGCATATTTAATTGAACTGAATACACTTTACTTTCCAGATGGAGAAACCAATTATTCTGCTGCTCTGGGTGCAACACGTTAAGGTAAGACACTTTTGAATGTGCCCCTTTTGGGATAGTTAACTAATGGGCAAAATGTGATTGCCTTGAGTCTATTATTTTGGAAAATGATGGGCACATTGAATATAAATAACACTAAAGATCAGGTTTAGTATGTAAGACAATTTTCCCTTGCTAGGAGTTGCACAAATGTATGCATTTAGATCTCATCCTTTTTCATTCCCTACAAATTTGAGGTAGGGTGTGTCCAGCAGGAGAGAGATCAGAATCTCATAAAAGACATGGTACAGTGAGACATTTCAAGGTTGTTTTTGTAGGAATTTTGATAAATGTAGTTCTTCCTCCATCTGTGGGGGAGTGGTCCCAATAACCCGGTGGATACTAGAATATGTGGATGCTTATGGACCATATATATATAGTGTAGTATTTGCATATGACTCACACAATCCTCCTGAATACTCTGAATCATTTTTAGATTACTTATAATACTTAACATAAGATAAATACTGTGGAAATAGTTATTGTATTGTTCAGGGCATAAGAACAAGAAAAAAGTATGTATTTGTTCAGTACATACACAATTTTTTCTGATTGTTTTTAATCCAAAGTTCATTGAATCTACAGTTGCAGAACTCAAAAATAGAGAGAGTTGACTGTTTCTGAACTCCTGAAAATTGAAATCGTTTTTGGTATTTAAGGAACATGTGTAGTCTCTGATTCTCTGGTTTGTCTGACATTTTCTTTACCTATAAATGAACCAAGGTTTTTGAATGACTCAGTCACATTTACATTCAAAACATTTTCTTCGCAATTGTGTTTTTGAGAATATTACAAAATAATTCAGTTTTGGGCCAGGGATTTAGCTCAGTGGTTCTGCCACCTGGCTCACAAGTGCAAGGTCCTGAGTTCTATCCCTGGTACAAAAAAAAAAATCAGTTTTATTACACTATCACAAAGATACACAATTAACACTCCAGGAGAATGTGCTATTTTTCTTGTGACCTTGAATTTCTTTCTGTTTCCTGTCCTCCTCCCTGACCCATTTCATAGTTAAAAAAAAATTGACCTTAAATTTCCTTCCTCCTTTCTTTTTTAACTTTCAACATCATATTTATAATCAATGGATGTTATTTAGTTTATTTTTAGAAAATGATATTGCAGAAATATTTGAAAATTAAAATTTGTCATATTCTGTATATATAGAGAGAAAATATTTGCAAACTATACATCTCACAATGTGTTAATATCCAGAATATACAAGGAGTTTCAGAATCCTCATAGAAAAATCACCAAATAATCCAATTAAAAATGGGTAAATAGAACTAAAAGTAGACATTTATCAAAAGATGACATGCAAATGATCAACAGGTATTATGAAAAAAATGCTTAGCATTACTAAGCATCAGAGAATGTAAATCAGAACCACAATGAAATATAACTTTGCCCCAGTAAGAATGACTGTTATGAATAGATGAGTTAACAAGTGCTGATGAAGATGTGGAGTAAAAGGAAACCTGGAATACTTTGGAGGGAATGTAAATTAATATGCCATTATGGAAAACAGAATGGAGGTTCTTCGACAATTAAAAATAGAATGCTATGTGATCCAGCAATTCCACTACTGGGTATATGTCCAAAGAAAATGGTATCACTATGTTGAAGAAACATCTGTACTACTATGTTCATTGCGGCACTATTCACAATACTGCTATTTCACAATGGAAACAGTTAAGTATCCATCAATCAATTAATAGATAAAAGAAAATTATATATATATAATCTATATATAAACAATATATATAAATACATATATATCACCAAAAAATGTATACACACTTCAGCAGTTTGCCATACTAATAAATGTCTGGAAGCTAATGACCACCACTTTGAGCACCTCTTATAATTGTAGAGGCCAAAGGTAATTTCTATTAATCTCATGATGTCTCAATAAATTTAATATTAAAATCTTTGTACAATTTTTCTTGTCCTGATGTATACATTTTTGTCTCTCTGCATATAATGCATATATTATATATATAATGCAATACTATTCAGCCATAAAAAAATGTAGTTTTGTCATTTGTGACAACATGGGTGGAATTGGAGATCATTATGATATGAGAAATATGCCAGGCGCAGAAAGGCAAGTACTACATAGCTCACTCATATGTGGAATATAAATGTTGATCTCATAGAAGTCCAGAGTAGAGAATGGAGGTTAACAGAAGCCAGGGAAAGTAGAGTAGAAGGAGGAACAGGGAAAGAGGGTGATGAATCGGTACTAGGTTGCAATTCAATAGAAGTTGCAATAAGAAGTCCTAGTTTCTACTGCACCACGGTGCAGTGACTGTAGACAACAGTTCTGTACTGTTATCTCAAAAACCTAGAAGAAAGGTTTGAAATGACTTTGGTTTAAAGAAATGCTAAATGCTTGAAGAGAGAGATGTTTATACTGACTATATAATGTGTACATGTATTAGAACATTGTATGATACCCCATTAATATGTATACTTTTAGCTTTTATGTCACAGTTAAATAAATTTAATTTTAAAAAGAATCACAAGCTCAACAGACCCCTTTATAAAGTTGAAAAAATTATTATTGACATATTTTAGATTTAATTTTTTTAAATATAAGAATTGATTTTGTTACTTTTCACAGTTACTTTTCTATTTCAGATCTCAAATAGTTTCCAGTATATACCAATTAATAAACAAGCAACAGCAGTTTTTATTGAGTGGGATGAATTTCCTAAGGGAGGAAATCCTGAGTTTTATTTTTTAAAATATCAACTTCTTAATAAAGTAAGTCATTCCATTTTTTGGATCTTAGAATTAAGTAAGCATGATGCAAATAAGTTGTAACTAAATGTCAGGTCATAATTAGGAATTTCGTAGTTATTGCAGTTTGTTATTATACTCATATATATAATGTTATCATTTCAATAAGTCAATTAAAATTATATTTAACTTCTCCATAGAAATGGGTGTATTTTCCTTTGTAGAATGTATATACAAGACAGTAATGATTTCAAAAGTAAGCCATCTTATGTAAAAATAAATATCTCATGGATATTTTATATTCCATATTGAAAAACTGCTTATGAAGGAGATAGAAAAGTCTAATTTTTAATTATAACATAGAGATCAACGCTGAAAATATTTTCATGGGAAGATGAAACTAATTATTTACAGAATGTCAAAAGAATTCCTGTAGACCCACAAAAACGTCAGAAGTCAATAACCCTAGTAGAAAACGAAGACTATTACATCATAATACAGTCCATAAAATATGGAAAAATTTTATGTGAAAAGTCATTCCAAACTCGTAAGTAATACATGTGTTGGTTAATTTTATCAACCTCATTGTAAATATTTTATTTTTATTATTAGGAAATTTGAATTTCAATAATTAATAGGTATATATCATCATACCACTATTGATTAAATATAGTGTAAATTTCAGAGTTGAAGAAAATTATAAATTTAGCTAAGAATAAAATTTGCACTTTTGGAGTTAGATGTATAGTAATATGAATGGGTAGTTATACTGGAGAGTTTACATTTAATCCAGACTATCTAAAAGTATTATAATGTAGATTTTGATCGAAATTATTCATTTTATGTATAGTGTAAGAAATTGCCAAGTATTCTAAAAATATATCATGGGTTTTCCATCATGATGAATATTTTTAAATTCAGTATTCTTCGAATTTCATTGTTTTATTTGAATAGTACCAATTATTTTCCCTGTTTTTTAGGTGGAATCTCAACTAGTGATATTAAAATAATAGCAACAAGTACAAGTGTTTCCTTTGATTGGAATGTGCTCTCTTTCGATGATATATTGGTGTCACTATCTCTTAATAATTTTTCACAAATTATACAAAATAATGTTATGGTTTATGAATGGGGAAATTTGAAACCTGCAACTTTATATGCTTTTACATTTGAATTTAAACAGTTGCATCTGGATTTCATAAACATATTTCAGAAACTGAATGTTCAAGTTGAAACAGGTATGTAGATATTTGGTTTATTAGAAGTTAATATATTTGTTACATATTTAGTGGATAACTTCGCAGTTGTATTATACTTTTTGAAAGTGACTTAGCCAGTAGTAATCACTGCACACTGCTTATAAGGGAATCAACATAGTCTCCCCTTTTCTCACTAAATCATTCTAGTAGACATACTTGACTTTGCAGGGTAAAAATAAAAACTAATTTACCAGCTTCACTTCTTCCCACAACCTTCTTTAAACTGTGCCAAGTGACTTTCTTTTGCCCTAGCAGTAGTTCACTGATTTTTAGCTGGCTTTAATGTGTCATGAACAGCCTCCTTTTCAGATATTAAAAGATTCATTATGATCTATTATAAATAAATCCATCTTTTCTCCTGTTATAAGATTCTCCATTACTTCTCTGTGGTTAGACTTCAGCAACAAGGGAAATGTGTCACTTTTGGTGTTCCAGTTTGATGCCCTTTGCTCACATGGTAGGAGCAGGTATAAGATCATAGGATCATAGATGGCTCAGAAGAGCAATTCCCTCTCTGTGATGGGTCAAAAGTCTCATTTTAGTACCCTCTGCCAGAGTCATCAATAAACCACAGTATCCATATTGCAGAGGGAAGTACAGAAGCACTCAAATAGTAAGAAAAAGGTAATAAGGTGATTAAAACGTCTTTTCCTCCTCATCCCTTGTTCCTCTGAAAAACTAAGCATATTTTTTTTTCAAAATAACCTCCTCATATATATGTGGGGTTGAGGTGCTGATGGAGTATCCACATGAACTGATGTACAGTCTTTTTGTGGTATGCATCTTGGAAAGTAAAGCTAAGAATCCATTATAGATTATTCTGGAAAATGAATGGTTTTGAAGTCAATGGACTGGGATCAGAATTCTTGATAAGCCTTGTGTCTAGTAGTCTAAAATAAAAAGAAACTTGAAATATGTTAACCATTTTTGTACTAGTACAAAAGTAAGAGGAAAAAAAGGCAACCTAAAGTTTCCTTTAGAATGAAAGACATCTTCATCTTTTGTTTTAATTGGACAATAATTTAACATAACTAATTCTTAGAGCTGCTTTAAAAATTATTTTAATTGATGACAATTCATTTACTACTTTGATAATAATAGTTTTAATATTTTTATTTGCTTGAGAGATGAGTGAGTAAAGTACATATTTAATACCATGAACTTATCATGATTAAATTTCTGTATCCTTAAATTAATAATTATGAGATGTTGTATTATTGAATTCATCTTTAACAAAGCATTTTTTGGCAGGTTCATGTTCACAAGGATGGGTAGCATTAAAAAATAACTGTTATAGATTAAGTAGTGAGAGAAAACCATGGAAAGTAGCCCAGCAACAGTGCAAGTTATTCTTAAGTTCTGCACACCTTGTGGATATAAAAAATGAAGAAGAAAAACATTTTATATTTTCACATCTCAGGTCAAAGAATCAAATAATGATATGGACTGGTCTTAACCATACTAAGGTCAGTAAGTGCAAAGAAATACATATATTGTGATAGATAAAACTTCATATTTGTTCATTATGTGTTTTTTCCTTATTTCCTTCATTAACTCAACTTCTTTATTGAGTACTTTTGATAAATTGGTCCTCATTTCTCTTTATATTGCTCTATTTCATTCTCTTTGCTATGCATCTGATTCCTTGCCTACTTTTACTGTACTTTTGATTTTCTTCAGACCTGTCCTAAGATCAATTGGGTGAGCTTATCCATTTTCTCATTAATTTATCACCTTAATTGATTATTCTCAAATCTTTACCTAACTTACTTTCCTCTTATGACTTCAGACATATATCTAATTTTCTTCTGATTAGCCCTCTAGTATTTCCCCCAGATCCTTAAACATTGGCAAAGCTGAACTTTTCATCTCTTGCCATTAGACCGGTTCCATTTCCTATATAATGTGTGTTTGTCACCCTGCTACTAATAAGATAATATAAAACCACAAACATGGACATTTTTCTGCATTTTTTTTTCTTTCCACCCACACATCCAGGATTGTGGTGCTCAATTTTAGTTAAAGAGATATAGAAAGATCTGAAGTTTTTTTTAACAGGAGTAAAATAAGGAGTGTGTAACATTCTTTTCAACATTTCTAAGATCCTGGGAAGTCTCATAAGATTTGATTTTCATCAGCATTTTGTAAAAAAATCCATGATCTAACATAGTCATCACAGTCTAGACTGTGTTTTTTTTTTCTTGATATCCTTTTACTTTGATTTCCTGACACAGTATGTTCTCCATGAAATGTCTTTATCTGTAGTGAGCCAAGGCAGTTCCATCATTTTGGTACCAGTTTTTCTGTAGAACTTTGCATATGCTAGGAAAAACTGGACAGTGTTTAATCGCATTTTTATCATCTTATTGAGCTTTCTTTATCTTTTAATAGGTAATGAATGAATTCTTTACAAAGACTCCTGAAACTGTACTTCATTTCAGTCATCTCATACCTCTTCTCCTGCAGGCACTTACCCAGTAAACCAGTTAGTGTACATGTAGATTTTCCTATTGTTAGCATGCTTGTTAGAAACACTTTAAATTAGAATGTACTCTTCCAATAGTTTTGATTATTAGTTTTTATTAAAAGTTCAGGGCTCATTTTTATGATAGCCAAAGTGGCACATACAAGGCATCTTTGTAGCTGTAATTCTTTATTCAAAAGTATCTAAGATACAGTCTCTGTTTTCAAGATATTTTAAAATAATTTGAGAAGTAAATGAAATATGAAAGTAACTATATGAAATTCCTTTAGATAATAGTTGAGTCCTATAATGCTTCCTAATGCTAAGCACCATTCTGTGTTGTACTTGTGTCACATATGAGGAAATTGGGACATAAGAAGATTACCTGGCCCATATTAACACACATCTATGCTCTCTATAGTAAGCTGGTCTTTTGAGATTGATGTCAAAGTCACTTACTGGGTTATAATCACCGTGGCAGAGAAAGAAAGTAAATAACCTTTAAATATATGCTGATTCAGTATCTATTTGTTACTCAGCCTCAAGGATAGTCTTCTTTATCTTGCATTCCTAGCTTCCATCTGGGGCCTGAAACTCAGTAGGAACTTACTGAATGAAAGATGGATAGTTTCTTTCTTCCACTCTGAGAGGTTTACATAGGTGACTATCATTTAGTTCTCTTGAAAACATTACGAAATAGACACTGTTGTTCTTCCCATTTGATAGGTAAGGAAAATGTATTTCAGAAAGATCATGGATCAAATAGCTTATAGTCACTCCATAACTTGAACCTGTGTCTGTCTGAGCAGCTATTATGTCCTAACCTGTTGAGCATACTGCCTCTGGACCTCTGTTCATTTTCAAAGCTGCAGCAATATAAATTAGATTCTGAAGAAATGTTACTGTTCCATTATGTTGGGTAGAATTAGAATATATTGTTTTCCAATTTTTATTTTGGTACTGGGGATCGAACTCAGGACCTTGCGCTTGCGAGGCAGGCGGTGGCACCACTGAGCTACATCCCCGACCCCCCTAGAATATATGGTCTTAAAAAATCTCTTTAGAATGCCTGGGGAGAGGAGATCTCTTTAATCCTCATCCACACAAATACGTCGTGGTATGCTTGAGGCTGGAGATGATGTGATAATCACAATGTAGGCATAATCTGTTTTCATGACACTTACTGTCTCTACAAGAAGCATATGTATTTTTTTCAAAGAACTCATGTACTGGGCATTTTACACACATATTCTCTAACCCTGTTGATAGCTATGCAAAATATTCACCATTATCTCCAGTGGTAAGAAAATTTAGTTCTTAAGAGATTAGCAGTTGCCTAAGAATACATAGTATGTAGCACAAAGAAGATTGGAATATCCAGGTGTATTTGGTCAGAATTTATACTTCTCTTCTTTTTTGGGAGGGTAGTTACATGACCATCAGGAAAAATGTCATTACTGGTGAGAATTTGGTGTAGTGATGTTCACTGGGGACGTCCTTTAGCAGAAAGATTATCAACCTCTCTTGATATATGTGACTTATTTAGTGGTTTGGAATAACGTAACTAACATTTAGCGAATGATTTCTCTGTGCTTTGGGCATTATGTTGAGATCTTTGAATGCACCAGATAATTCTCACAATAACCTAAAGATGTAATTTTATTATTCTATTCATACACATATCTGAAATGCAGTGATGAAAGATAGGACATTCATCCTTCTAATTGGTTTAATTTGTGTGTCTTATTACAGAAAGATCATCTAACTTGGACAGATGGATCATCCTTTGGCCTTAAGAAAAATGAAATGTTTTCTTTTCTACTGCTCCCTAAGAATGAAACAGATTGCTACATTTTACAGCAAAATGCAGCTGGATCAAACTATTACTTTACAAGATATTTTTGTTCTATTCCATTGCCATATATTTGTGAATATAAATGTAATTATTATGAATATTCTTTCTTAGTTTTATGCATTTATTCTTTATAGTTCATATTATTTTATGTATTTTCATTATGGTATTATAGAATTATAATTTCTAACTAAAAATCATTCTCTTTTACATTATTTTCAGTACCTTCTCTTCCTGAAAACTTACTGTTTCGTGTGAAGGATGTTGGAACAACTGAAGTTGTATTTGGTTGGAATAATTTGAATGGTTGGAATAATTTGAATAAGTGGCTAGAACTGGGATATAAGATTATCCTTAAATATTATTTAGGTTGTACAGAAGAACAACATTTGGAAAGCATGCCTCCAAATACTACAGAAAAAGCAATTACCATGCTGTCTCCTGGACATATATATAGATTTTTACTCTTTGCATTAAATGAAGAGGAGGCAAAAATTTCTTTAAATCCAGTATTTATTGTAGAAACACGTAAGTTACAAGACATCTAAAAGTACAATTTCTCAAATACTTAATAGTGTCACTGGCAGATATTTCCTGCGGGTCTGGCATTTTCTCATGGTATCTGTATCTTTAATAGTTTTAAATCACAATGAGATAATTTTAACCTATAATTTAATCATTTTATTTTAATTTATAATTTTAGTTAAAATTTTTAAATTTATACTTTTATAATTTAGAATTTTAAATTATAATTATGACTGCTCTGTTAAAATATAAACTCCATAAGGACAGGAGCTATGTGTTATTTGTCTGATAGCACCAGCTAGACTGGTGCTTAGTTCAATGTAGGTAATTGATACATTTCTGCAGAACTGAATTTTTAATAATGTTAAAAGCAAGAGGTGAGCAGATGTACATTCTCATCTTTAAGAGGCTCATAATGGACAGAATTAGTAAGAAACAAAAGTTAACAAAATGATATAGAAAGCTATAATAACAAGTAAATGATCAACCAGTAGTGTATTTAATAACTGCTTAATAGAATTCACACAGTGAGTGCCAGAAGAAGACTCCTGGATAGAAGGGTCTTTGACTGAAACCTGGAAGAAGAAAACCATATTGTGAGTAAAAGTGTAGAGTGAGAATTGTGAAAGAATAGTTTATAAGAGGAGAATTTTTGTAGGCATGAGAGTGAAATTAATTTAAGAGGAAAGTGGTACCAAATTTATGAGTTCCAGGATGTCTGTCGCACAAAGTTAGACTTGACCTCAGGAGCAATGGAAATCCTTTACGACTATAGTTTCTAATACTTGCTTGACATTGTACAAACCATTTTGAACACATTTTCATTTGGTCTTTGCCTCACCCTGGGGAACAGCTATGTAGAGAAGAGAAGATGGAACTTCAGGCAGGTTAAGTAAACTGATAAGAGTCACGTGCTTTTGGTAAGTAGCAAAGCCACACAGAAACTCAGATTGTTGCTCTTGAAAAGGAACAAGAAGAATGTGTACATGCATAGGTATTAGGAAGAGGGAACATGTCCACGTTTGAGACTGATTGTGTACTGTACTATTTTAAGAAAATTAATCTGGGGACTTCAATTAGGAAAATTTCTGGCATTCAATGAAAGGTTTGGAGCGGGAAAATATTTACATAAGAAAATAACTACCCAAGTTTCAGTGATAATGGGAATGAAGGGTGAACAGTATAAAGTCCTTGCCTTCTAATCTGACCAAGGCAGAGGCTGTAAAAGGTGTGTAAGATATGCTGTCACTGAATACAATAAGTACCATTTGGAGGTGAAGAGGATAAAGTAGTTGTTGAGTAATGTGTGCCAAAAAGTGCAAGTGCTTTTCTTTCCTTATTCGTATAATCTTCACAAAATTCTATGAGGCAGCTGCCACTATAATTCCCATTCTACACTCAAAAGCGAGCCTCAGAGAGAGTGAGAAAATGGAGCTAGAAGGTGGAAAAGCCAATTTTCCTTTTCTTTACAACTTAGATACTTGAAAGTACTGAGAAATGAGGGATTATTATGCCAAAACATATTACTAATAGAATGTACTTTTTGATGTTTTTATCTTGTAGGCCCATTATCACCCCAGAAATTTAGAGTCACCCATGTGACCCCAAGAGAAATATTTTTACTCTGGGATCCTCCAGATTCCTCATCTTTTCACCATTATCTTATCACCATTTTGGATGTTGAGAACAATAAGTCAGAAGAGATATTTGTTGAAAAATTCAAAGTAACAGCTATAGTTGGAAATCTCAAGTCTTTTCATGAATACCTGATATATCTATTCAGTGTAGCAGAGAAAGGAACTTTAAGTTGCCTTCAGAAACCTATTTCAGTTCTTACAGGTAAGCATGGATGGGCATATTACCTTTTAATATAAAAAATAAACTATTTTCAAGTTTTTTGAAAAACTAATTAAAAATTTAAAAAATTTTTGAAGTATTTTATTAAAGTTTAATTATATTGGTCCTTCATAGATACAAATACTTACAGTGGAATGTGTGTTTGAATGCTGAATCACAATCCCAAGCTTGAATTCTATATACTAAATTCATTTAGAGTTATATGAACATTTAAAACATTATTCCAATCTGTATTTTTCCTACCACAATTCATAGAAATCATCTTCCTTATCATAATCGTGGATGGAAAATAAATTTATAATAGATTTACCCCGAGAAATTATCATATGAATATTAGTTCATTCAGTTCTTTTTAGTAATCCTAGAAAATTAGGAAAAATTAGGAAATTATAGTGTCATAAATTGAACTCTAGGGGGCAGTCTCCTCCTGTGAGTTTATCAGCAAATAGACATTTCTGCATTCAACATCACATAATGGTTTTACGTCTTGTTCTAGAATGTAATTATTAATCTATCATTTAATTAATCATTATAGTTATCCCCTTGAGTACAAAGCAATATTTGTGAAGGCTGAAATGCTGTCTTGCATAAACAGTGGACAACTAAGCACATGTTGGCAGTATATCCTAGAGTGTGGTGTGTGATGCTTGGGCATGTATATTTAACATGCTGTGTACAAAGATATTTGTTAGAATTTTACCAGCGAAATGTTAAGAAGACTGGAGCTGAGATTCACGCTATGGAAACCCTTCATGTTACTAGTTGTAGATAAACATTCCTATAGTTATTGGGAATATTAGAAATCCTTTGAAAATAACAAGATACAACTTAATGCTTATAAAAGTGAATATTTAACATAAAAGTATTCAGCCTTGCAAATACTAATAGAAATATTTTTCCATCTAGATAGTAGATAGCAAATGCCTTCTCTTTCCCGATGTCAGGCAAAGTATCCTTTAATTAACAAATGCTTAGTTGGGTCCCTTAGAGTTTAGCTTCCTTCTTTTCCTGTGGCTCTGGGGATCAGAACCTAGAGAGTTGTATTTTCTCCAGAAAATGCCCCAGGCTTCATGATTGGGATTAAGCACTTGCCCTGAGTCACAATGTGTAGATTTGAATCTATGTCTCACTATTTGAGTAACTCTGGATAATACTCAACCTGTTTATGCCTCAGTTTCTATGTTTGTAATATGGCAAAAATAATAGTATGTGTGTCATGGGATTATTCCCAGAATAGTTGATTTAATAAATGAAAGGACTTGGAATAGGGCCTGATACATAGTTATATGTGCTATAATTATCAGTGTATTCACAAAAACATGCTTTTATATTACAGCACATGTACATTACCAATATAGAATGTTGTGACAAACTAAAAATATCCTTAGGTTCTTATTGAAATATGATTATTTTAGTAGATGATCATTGCAATTAAGAAGGTAGAAAATGAAATAATATTTGTAGATTGTGATAAATATTAGGAAAGAAGAAAGAAAAGTGATAAAGCGTAATTTAAGAAGGATGGCGGGTTTACCTGTAAGTAGGCTATGAAAGAAGGAAGTTGCATTTGGGTAGAGGACTAGAAGATAAGAAGGAGCCAGCCTGGGGAAAGATAGAGGAAGGGTACTCGGGCGTGAATACAAGTATAAAGGCTGCAAGAGAGGGGAAAGCTTGTGCATTTGAGAACCAAAGGAGTACTGTCTGTGATGTATTTAATTAGGAGGGAAAAAGCTAAGAGAAATGATTTGGGGGAGGTTTCCAATGGTCAGATCACAGGGATATGACGATCAGTGTTTTTGAGTTTGTTCTTAAGGATTTAAGAATATAGGAAGCCTTCAAGGGTTTTATGCAGGAGAGAAATAATTTGACCTGTGTTTTCAAAAAGTTCTCTCTTGCTGTGTGTAAAGAATGAATTGTAAAGGGATAAGGTTGAACACAGAAGAACTGAGTAAGAGAATGTTGAGGAAATTCAGGCAAAAGATTATGGTAAGCAAAGGTGTGGACAGTGCAGAAAGAAAGATAGTTGACAGTGTGAAGCAGGAGTGCTTATTGCGATGAAGGAAGGAAAGGGGTTAACTTAGGGAATTTAGAAGAAGATTGTTGACACTAAAGAAGAGCAGATTATTGAATTTTACAGGCATTCTAGCCAACAATAATGCCAGCCTTATGGAAAATAATGAATTGATACAAAATATTATGTGCCAACAGTAACCACACTCAACCAGTCATGTATCCTATTTTACCATTCTGAGACTAAAATTAAATTAATATAAAGTACTTCCATACTTAAATTTCTAAGAAAACTTTTTAAAGATGCTTATAATTGGGGGTGTTTGTAAAAGCAAAAACAAGAAAGAGATATCAAGAAGAGTTATTTCATATAGTGATCCATTGAGTACTTAGTCCAGACAGACTAAAATGTAAAATGTAAAGACAGAAAAGTTAAATCTACTAGTTGCAGTATGAGGCAGTATGAGGTTAGAGGATTTCTCTATATTATCCCAGGGCCTATATTTTCCTTTGAAAATATTTTAAGACATTTAGTAAAATAGTTTTAAATTTCCTTCCCCGTAATTCTTTGACTCTAGGGTATTTTTGCACATGTGAGTCCATTTGCCATCTAAAATATAAACTTTTTGGCTTTTCTTTCTAGATAGTGAACTTTTAGAAGTAGTGCACAGTTCTCTATCTCTATCTTAAGTAGAGTTCTTAGCACTGTTTAATTGTTTGTGATACTGCTATCGAACATGGATACTAAAATATATTAATATACACAAATCCTAAGAAAATTAATAGCATTTGGGGCTTGAAGTCAGAACAGAGAGCCTTCCAATGCTGTTATCTGATATATTCCCAGTTTAGTGTTTCTGATCATTTGAGACTTTTGGAATTCATTTCCATGTCTCCATTATGGACCTGAACCTCTTCTCCAGGACTTTGTAGAGGAAATTTACTCCCTGATTCATGTCATGAAATTTTAGAGACCTCCAGTAGGTGTTCCTGGTGCCTCTCTTCCCAGAAGTTATCTCTGTTTCCTGCAAGCAGCCACTATATCTCATACTCCTATTAGGTGTTTTTCCCAGTTCCTAGGCTTGATAATCCCATTCAGCAACACCAAATCATTTATCAGTCATCACTTTTACTCATTTTAAGATCCTGAAGCAAATATTAACCTGTCCCAGTAAATATAGGTATAAGTTAAGTCTTTCCCTCTCTATCATTCAACGTCTTTGATACATAAAATTTACATCATATTTATCTGTCTTACACACACATTGAAGTAGTCAAGTCCAGAGAGCCATTTGTCTTTTAATGAACTTTACAAGTATGTAGAAGAAAATAGTGTTTGGACATACAGGCATTTCCATTTCCCTTTTGAAACTTACCTGTCCATCTCTCTCATTTGTACTTGAAAATATCTAGCACACCTTGATCTCCACCTGTGATTGTGCACATGAAGCATAAAGTGTGCCCTTGGGGTGAAGGAGGTGCTTATGAGCATGGACTTTGGAGCCAGATGGCCTGGGTTACAATTCCAGCTTTATGACTTAGCAATTTCCTCCTTTGCAAAATCATCCAAGCTCTTTTGGTTCTCAGTTTCCTTCTCTATAAAATGGGAATGATAATGCTTCTACTTTATGAACTTAATGTAATTTAAGAATTTTCACAGTGCTTGCTTGACACCAGTAAACAGCACAAGAACACCTGTTTTTGTAATTTTTATTTCTCAAGAGGAGTAGAGTGGTGTAGGAATAGTGAGAAGTAAAGCCATGGTAGCTGCTTGTATAGTCTCTCTTTGTTGGAGCAATTAACTCTATTCAGGTTTTCTTGAGAGCAGGAGAGCTACAGAAGAACTGTGTTTCCCTTTTTTTCCTTCTCAGTGAAGAAGAATAACTTTTATGTAAGTTTGCGCATCCCTGAGACCTCATTGTACTTTGCCTATAATAACAGCTTTTAAATTTGGCCTCATGTGATTCATCTTGTACTGCAAAACTCATAAAACCCTTTATGTGGCCACTGATACAGATTTAATAACAAGACACAAAATGGTAGAGATCATAGTCACAGAGATAGAAACCTGTTGGAAATCTCCAGAATGTTTCAACATTTTCTTTTTTGTTAATGAAATCTCCCATGTAAGCTTCCAGATGTTTAGATGACCATGTAGAACTTACAGTTTTGGTGACTGTCTTGTCTGCTTTAGAATGTTATGCAGTAGCACAGTGCCCCACTTCCCAGAACAAATAGACTTGTGGAGAAACTCCACAATTACAGATTATACCTACTTGGAATCTGTCTTCAGTATGGAACAGTATTGGTTTTATGATGATACCAGTCACTCATTTCCCATTCTTAAATCTTTTAATTCCTGCTCAAGACATACATAGAAGCTTTCACAGATCATTGGCTCCACATTCAGATGGATTGCATGCTTCTGGAATGTCACTCTAGCTTTGGAAAAGCCATGGTTACTGTAAGACCTTTGTAAATGAAGAAGGCTCTATAGAATTTAAAGAAAAAAAAAGCCACAGGAAATGCTAGTGATGACAGAAAAAGAAAAGTTAAGATAATATAACTGGAGAAAGAAAACCATGGTAAAGTTGCCTTGAAACCCACAAGTATACCATATGGAATTTGTTATGGTTAGTTTGTAGAACATTTCCTTACCACCACTGGGAATGGAAAAGCCAGGAAGGTTATTTAACAGTAATTTAGAGCAAGTTCTGTTGCATCAAACCAGATGTTGCAATAAAACTGAAAAGTCTATCTAATTATTCTCTGGAGGGAAAAATTTTTTTAAGCATGTGCACTTTTGAAGAAGATATCTGCTAGGAAAAGAGAAAGAGTTAATGAAATAACCCACAAATAGAAGTGAAATTAAAATTAACCTGAGGAAAAATTTAATGTGAATAGAAATTGTCTTAAACTTCACATCTGCTTTAAATAGCACAGCAGAGGGTTGAGGTATAATAAAGCTCTTT